ATCATGCAGGTTAGCCAGATATGGAAAATACCGCAGCTATTGCATCGAGATACAGGAAAAGTAGGGAAAAAATCTGCAACTGAGCCACCATTAATGAATGGGCGTTGTTCCGGAGGACTATAAGGGATATTGCGCCACAAAAGTTATATCATGCATAGGGAATGAGATCGTGATTGGACGGGGAGGCTAAGCGGGAGGGGGAGAGACGAAAAAACTCACAACACAGATGCCACTGAGGTCGGCTCCTAGCCATATCAACCAATGTACCCAGCCAAACGTGTTCATCGTCATTCGGACCCAAACCATAGGGGGGGGGGGGCTGGAAAATCTAACCGAGGCCAACTTCGAACTAAATGCTCTCAATCCTCTTGAGCAAGTCGTCGCTGGGCCACCCCTATTCTATTCGAGGCAGATTATTGTGCAAAGTTTAATCGTGGCTTCTACTTTCTACAACAATAATTGATGGGACGAAAATGTTAAATGGTAAACGCAATGTGTCAGGTGATCAAGTGACTGAAGCATGTGACATCACTGAGTGAGGTCTGATCTATCTTTGTTATTGGTTGGCCAGGGTATTTGTATTGATTAGACATGCTTCTACTGAATGTATAGATTAGGTTTTATCAACCTGATGCATACCGCTTCAGCGATAACAAGTAGCCGAGCCCCTGAGCGATGGTGTAGCTGCGATGGCACTCGATAGAGGATCTCAAATGAATTACGCTTATCAACCACATGACTGGTGCAGATCAGATAGTATATATATGTGTAGGGAATGAGATCGTGGTTGGAGGGGAGGCTAAGCGGGAGGGACGAAGAAACGCACAACACAAGTGCCACTGAGGTGGGCTCCTAGCCATGTCAACCAATGTATCCAGCCAAACGTGTTCATCGTCATCCGGACCCAAACCATGGGGGCCTGGAAACTCCAACCGAGGCCAAGGTCGGACTAAGTGCTCTCATTCTTCTTGGTCAAGTCGTCGCTGGGTCACTCATTTGCGTCCTCCACCCACACTCCCGACGCTCAAACAACGCACGTTGCGGGAATGCATGCCTAGGTGTCGCAATCGACCAAGGCTTAGGAATGGTTTGCATACCCTGTGAGTCGTCGCTGAGTAAGGCGATTTCATCGGCATAATCTAAGTCGGTTGCTCGCTTGCCTAGTGCTAGTTTCAGGTCAAAATTTTGCCAAGCTTTCCGACAACTGAACAGGAAGTCTCACATCACAAAGTTGAGGTGGGACGAGAACATGGGGCGACGCTGTTGTACACGGCTGTTGACAACGAAAGACGATTAGAGCTTGTCACAAACCATAACTCGCGCTGATGGAGACATGGAAGTACAGTGCATGTAGGATAGCAGTATAGTTTTGTGAGTCATCGTTCCTTAGCAGGCAAAATCAAAGAGCAGGCTGAGTGCAGTACGGGTGTCTAAAAAAGCAACAATGGTAGAGGTTGCGGTGTTCGAGGATTCGCCGGAGCGCGAATATTTGATTCACAAACCCATGACAAGGACGGAATCCAGCTTATTTTTCCCGGTACAGTGATCCACGAATCACATGTAGTCTACGAAGTAGATGGGTAAAATAGTTTAGAGGCAACGGAAATGAGACTAATGTCTTGTTGGTTGATGCATAAAGCGCAAGCACTATACTTAAAAATCGGGACGAAAACTGATTCGCCCGAGGAAGAAGACACCATTTCTGTATGGCAGATGTTAGAGAACAATGTGCTTAACTGGCTGATGGTAACTGCATTTCCATACTTGAAGATCTCCTGAGGAAGTCCGTCTGGACTAGCAACGTTGAATAGTTGCAAGTGTCGGAGCGCAAGACGAAGTTTCGGTTCGCTGGGTGGATTAAGCGTGACGACTCAGGGCGGGCAGATGGGTCCGCAGGGTATACAATTACATGGTGATGGCCGAGTGAACTGTAAATGAAAATGTTCGGCCCATCGATCCAAGCTCCTCTGCAAGTTGGCAATCGGTGAACTATCCGATGCGAAAGGTCTCACTGACACTAGGCTTCCTGCGGCCAATGGATAGGATGAGCTGGAAGAGCTTGCAAGTATTGCCATAAAGGGGAGCGCAAAAAGTTTCCGAAGCACACTGAGACCTCCAGGCTTGACGAACCTTCAGCAGGCTTTAAATGAGCCGCAGACTGGCAGGACGACGCACTTCATGATGGTCGGACTCCACTGGAATAGTTCTGCGAGGGTCAAACAGATCCATAGGGCGAGTGGAGATTAAGGTCTTCGTAGGGGACCGAGTGAGACCACTGATTGACTAGCCGGAAAAGACCATAGCCTTCTGCATGAACGTCTAGTGATCGTCAATGGCTTGCGGTGGATCGCAGCTAACTGAAAATGCCAAAGAATTCTGGTGGCTCAGCAGAACCTGTTTGTATTAGCTTTGCGGTTCTTGATCTTCTGGGAACATCCAAAAATTATGCAGAAGTTGGCACAGACCAGCGCATGGACTGAGTCAAGAGATTAGACCAACATACTGTCCCGCCATTCTAAACTGATTGCGATATGATTAATTCGAGACGGGCGGTACCATGTTGCGGAATACCTCCACCTTTACCTGAAGTCGGTGCTCGAAAGAAACAGATGACTGTGTTCACACAATGTGAGAGGATTGTCACCGTTATCAGAGAGGTTTCCTTGAGCGTAGGTTGACCACTGAGGTCACGGCTGTCTCCGTGTCATCAGATAGGCGCAAAGGAAATATGGCTTCGTGGTCAGTGGAACATGCCAAGTTAATCACGTTACTGGGATTTTGCAATCGCGCTTCGGAAATATGGCAAATATCAATGGTGAGGGACTTCAAATTAAAGCAAGACCAGGTTGTTGCCAGACGTGCATGAGAATACGTAAAAAAAGCATTCCAAACGAACGGGGATCAAGACCGAGTGTGGGCCACTAGGTGAATCTGATGGGCGTCGGCGAAACTATATGGTGCAAAAATTAGGAAAACAAGAAGCGACGAGTGATTTAGTAACAAATGAACAAGTAACATATGAGTAAGATGTACGAATGGTAGCAGCAAGAGTAGTTAAGCACGGTTAGACTGCTGAACGAGCCATGACTTCTTTAGTGGGCGTGACACTACCCGATTTCAAAATTATGGAACTGACTTAGGGAACACCGCCTCGAGCCTTCGGCTGAATAGCCTGCCCGCAAGATGGGAGGGGGGGCACAATCAGAGGATCGCACCCATTGAGGGCCGGTACCACATTATTAAGTTCATACGACTTTGTTTAAACTGTTGCAAAACAGGGACTCAATCTTCTACATGAGATCAGCACACACTTACTGGAATACAATGTTCCATTCACCACGACACAATGCTGTTAAACAGACATTTGTGGCTTTGTATATAGGAAGTAAGCTTATCGGGTATAAACCCACAATCCACTAGAATACTGCAGGCAGACAACTCGCCAGAGCAAAATAACCCCCATCCATCACTCTGGCAGCACGAAGTCGCTCGGCAAACCAGCTCAACTAAAAAGTGCTAGAGAATGGCAAACTCTCTCCTACACTGGCCAGAAGCGTTGTTATTGGCTGACTCCAACGGAAAAGTCTGCACTGACCAGCTAATGGCCAATGGGCTTCAACTAGGCTGGGACCCAAATTTCTGCTGATGTTACTGGCATGAAAATGGCGTGAAAAATTCTCATGAAACAGCTGCCTTAACTACTACCGTGCGGAAATGCTTAACACCCATACTCCCTACCGTTATTGAGGCAGGATCTCATCTCCAATAGAGATGAGTCGAGTTATGAGAGACTGGACCATCTGCTTTTACCGGACTGCATAGAATTACCAATCGCCAGTGCGGGTGATGAAAACGGCGTCATTAAAATCATGGCAGGAAGAGTAAAAACGTGATCAAGGGGAGAAAGACAACAGTCGCAGCACAAGCGATAGAGGTGCTTCGGTGTTTCCTATCCCAACGCTAACACCCTATGGTTGGATTCTTCTTTGTTTGGACTCACCAGGTAGCGATAGGCTGAGCTAGGAGTGAAACAAGGTGCATACTGGTTAACAGCTAATTTACTAATCCCTAAACCAATGAGATCCGTGAACAACATTTGGCACAACGGTTAGGGACTCATAGTTGGGTTTGGAGTACCCACGGTTTGATTGGATTGCGAGTTTACTGAAAGGGAAAAAACAGTAGCACAGCATTTGTGCAACTGAAGGTTGTTGCGAGCAAGAGCATCTAAAACTTTTACTCGTTGCGAGCCCGCATCGCGCTGCTCCCAATGTGAAAGACAGGAAGGACCAATTCAATGAAAAAGCAGTTACCCCAGTTTAGTAACACAGGTTGTCCACTACGATAAGTATCCCAATCGCATACCGGTGCAAATAACGCGTGGGCTGACACACTGTATGTAACTGCATCGATACGGTGGTGATGGTGGGGAGAATGTTTTGGAGACAACGACTGTTCCCTCCAAACACTTTGTTTTGAAGTTAACCGCTGTTAACACGATGATGCAATCACACACCAGGAATCCTGTGTAAATAACGTGTATCAAAAATGACAATCGCTTTCGGTCGGACAGTCCAAGCCTCAACACGGTACAACTGGACCGTAAGAGCGGAGACGTTGCATACTCTACTCCTGAGATCGATAATGACATGACGACAGTGCTACGAGTACCACAGTTTAAACAATGTAATATGGACTTTGGCAATTCGCTGTGGAATCTTATCTCTAGAAACGTCACCAGTTGTTGTGCACTTCACTAGATCAGTAAAGCTATCAACTTGCGAGGGACTAGTACCTGCGATGGTATGATCAAAGATATTAAGGGATTCGAAAGCAAAGCTTTATACTTGTATGAAGTAAGATGCATTATTCCTTAAGCCGTTTAAAGTGTTTTGAATAATGACACCAGCGTTAATAGTATAATCTCCGTTAGATATTCCCCAGGCTCATTGCCCCAATCAAACGGTAAACATGTGAAAGCATGCGGAGTGGACACTCACCGGAGAATTTCACGACGCACACGAAGTGGCTGCTCTATCAACGAAACGCCATTCAAATAGAGTAGGTCGAATACGTACACGCAAATCTGGACTTTGACACTGGCTTCAATGACATCCTGAGGGATGAAATCACAACAGTCAAGGTTACAAATTAAGCAGGATGGAATGGTTTAATTGAATGTGGGATAACGTGAACTAGTCTTCAGAAGTAAAAGACGAAAACTATCAATCAGTCACTGGAGTCGCATTAAAATCCGCTCATGCCTGGAGTCACAAAGTGCGATGCTGAAACGGAACACGAAAAAATATTCTACTGTGGCGGACAGAACGGCATCTTTGATGGGCATCTTAAACAATGGGGTTATGTGCGTGAGGTTACAATGCTGAAACGGATTGGAGCGGTGAATGCATGGGGTGTTGGACCAGTCAAACAGAATGAGTGGTTGAAGGCGCCGTAGCTCACAAAAGGAGGACTAGAGCCATTAAGAACATCATCATCATCATCATCATCAGCATCGTCGTCGTGATCATCATCATCATCACCATCACAACAGCAGGAACAGCAATATATCAGCCGCTTAAACTGACGCGTCGCTGGCTCACAACCAAGGTGACCTACGGAATGAAGAATAAGAAGAAATGAAGAAGGACTTAGCACAAAACATTAGTGGCCTAAGAAAACATTCAGGGTCAAGGCGCTTACACCTTGTCGGCACACACCGTGTGCTGTGCATCGGATAATGAAGGAAAATATTCCGACGGTACAGTATACTGCAGGTGTAAGTGTTGAACACATGCGATTCACAGAAGCGCCTGGAATTCGCCCGTTGGTTTTAAACAGCCTGAACGTACATTTCATTGTGTTCACCGATGAGGCAATTTTCCGTCTGCATGTCGAATATACGCAACCTAGTTGGGCAACAACTAACCCACAGCAATGTGGCGCATTACGTGTACAACATAGGGCGAAGCTCATGCCCTGAGCTCGGTTGACCGGTCGAAAAATCATTGGGCCCCTCCTATTATAGGAGTGTGTCCGGTAGGTTGTTGTTAACAGTACTAATGTCTGACATTCCTTAGCACCCTCGTACATGGAAATTTTGCAGACCAGCGTCATTTCGCAGCTACAGTCCGTAAAGTCGCTGAATAAGGTTTGATGGCAGCAAGGTGGTGCACCTGCACATTCGGCGCAATCAGTTCGTGCCTACCTGAACGACTTTCGGTGGACGTTAGATCGGTCGCGGAGAACCGATAGAGTGGCATACGCGGTAACACGATCTAAATCCAATGGATTTTTTCTACGGGGATTCTTGAAGCGTAGAGTTTATAAAACAAAACGCAACAGCCTGGATGAACCAAAAGAGTACATTGTGAACAAATGTAGCCGGATTTCGTAGGAATTGCAGAAAGTGCTCGCCAACACCTTCCGGCGAATGCTGCTCTGTAGCCAAAACGACGGAGGGCACTTCGGACACGTAATCCGTTGATATTTTCAGACATTTCACACATTTGATGTAAATATAAGTAAATAAATAAATGTATATTCTCGATTGCACACGAGAAACACCACCGAAGGCATGATAAATTTGTACAAGCAATTGTTTGACTGCGAGGGTAATAGTTGCATTAATGATTAAATTGGTGCTGTCTAATGGTACCACTAGTGCGTCGGCGCAGACTGAAATCTAAGAACATTGTCAAGTTAAGTCAAGTATTCGCTTTTATGAACCCATGAGAGATGAATGTTCAGCCGTAACATACACGCGATCGAAACGGTAAAACGAACAAGACTGTAATCTTAGAAAGTGTTCTTGGCAGTATGAGTTCCCTTAGCAGGGAAAGCAGCCTAATGAAAGCTTCCGCGTTTGCTAGAAACCAATGATGAGGCTGTAACAACATTTGTCGCGATTGTCTTTCGCCATGTATTCCGATAGCAACCGGCGCCCATCGGTCATTGCATATGGTTAGGTTGTTCTACACAATCGCAAGAACAGCGAGCCACTAGCCATTACACAGGGATCCCTTGTGCTGGCTTTTTCACCTGGGTGAAAGCTGACTACCAATCGATCGAAGCATGACACGTCCAGTGCGGCTTCGGTGTTTGGCTAACACTCATTTCCCACAGCCGAACGGCCTCGGTTCCCTTGGTCTGCTCTGCGATCGTAGACACACAGGTCCCGCCTCTGTGTCACATTTCACCCCTGCCGACACGTTCGGCAAAGCAATTTGCGCCATTGGACAGTTGTCAATTCATTGTGCCGGGGTACGACAGCACGTGAGCACAGCCGCTATTAGTTTCGAACGAAGTTGCTCAAGACCATGTACATTTGAGGCCGCACTGCCTGACAGACCTTCGGGATGGTCGTTGAGAGCCAGACGTTGCGTGCGGTGAAGCAGTTGCAACTGGGCGGTGATGTAGGTGAGCGACAGCGCAGACCTGATATTATGCCTGATGTCATTGGTTAAATGCTCTCCTTTAGACAACATAAACAAGTAAACATCCTTTATCTCCACAATCTGAACCGTTGGTTTCGCCTTGGGCGGTCGGCTATGAACTTGGATGAACCTGTCCGGGTAGCGGTTCGACAACAGTCTTAAGTAAAAACCCCTCTTTGGTCCTAAGCGTGCCTGTAGTGAAAATTCGTCTGGCTCCGTAGATGGTTTTGGCTAGACCGCGTTTGTACGCAACTGGAGCGAAGATAGTGTTAGGTTTCGAACGGACTGCTCCGAGGAAAATTGCGCTGTCTGAGGTTCAAGTCGAGTTGGCGCCACTAATTCAGATCAAAACTTGTAACTTGCATGGAAAAACAGAATTTCACACAGACCAAAGTTAAATGCGCACAGAAACGAAACAAATTGACTTGTTCGGGAAGGTGAGTGTGCAGTGTCCCACAAGTAACCGTGTGTCTTGTATCAGAACAGTCTCAGTTACAAGCAGAATTGTGTGTTTCTGTGTTGCAGGACATTTGTTACTATCGCTTGCTTCACACTACTCACACGTCCCGTGATTCTTTGAGATCTATAAATTCAGGCTAGCACAGCCGTGAGTTGGTTTCTCCTTGCGCTAATATCTCCGTTTTCTCCCAATCAAATAGCTCGCTCGTAGAAATCAGTAACATCATCATCATCATTATACACGTCAGCTGGAGGTGAGAAGCACCTCAGCTACTGTGTCACAATACATAACAGAAAAAAAGAAATACAACAGTTGCATGCCAGCTGAGCTACCAGCAACGGATAGACATCGTTCCGGTAAGCTACCAGCCGGCTACTAGGCAAAAAGAAAAATTATTATGTTTTACGCTACGAAATGTGATCGTAGATGGCGGAGACTAAAAGGGATGGGGAGGGACAAAGAAACTCACAGCAGGAACGCCACTGAGGTCGGCTCCTTGCCATGTCAACGAGTGTATTTAGCCAGCGTCTTTTAGACCCCAATCAGGGAGCCGAGACGCTCCAACCGATGCCAGCTCAGAAGTGAGTGTCTTCATTCCTCTCGACTAAGGCACCGCTTGGCCACCCCTCCTCTTCTTCCATCCACACCTTCGGCGCGCAAACAACGCACGTCGTGGAAGTCGGTGGGCTGGCATGCGCAACACGTGGCCCAGCCATCGGAGCCTGATGCGTGAAATGACGGTGCTGAGTGGTTCAGTTCCTTTTCCTGTGCCGTAAACAAGGCGTCGAACATGCTCGTTACTCACGCGGTGTTCCCATCAGATGTGAGCCAAACTGCGAAGGCACCGATGGTTGAACGTAACATTATCTTAGCAAATTTGAAAGTTGCAATGGCACTCCCAGGTAACAGACCGCACAATGTGAGACACCAACGGAGTCTGCGGCCAAAATAGAAGTGAGCAGCGGCACTTCTCATCCAGAACTCCCACTAAACACACATCGCACACACACCAGTACACAGAGACGAGTGGTCAAGCCATGCCACTAAAGTATCATGTGTTTCATCGAGATTTCTCTGTATTCATATCCGACAGGCTGGGCTAGCTGTTGCCGTCGAGCACAGAAAAACCACAATGGGCGTACTAACTGTTGCAGTAACTTGGTGGGTGATTTGACTAGAGGAAGTGATGCGGTTGCGTAAATGTCAGACTAGTTATGCAGAAGAATTTTACAATCGTAAAAGTTACGAAACACAGTGGAGTCGTACAGCGCCTACTATCAACTCCTTCCGAGGAGCTTATAGGAGGCGTGCCACATTATCCCGATAACGAAGGTGGCTTCAGGCTCTGAGCTCATTGGTAGTTCATGTGGCTGAAAGCATGCTTCGGGTAGAGAAGTCACGATATTACAGTGAGGCAGGACTCTGATCTGGAGCGATAACCTATATGCATCCCTGATACACTGCGCCGTTCTAGTTTCCCACAAATCCACAAACAGCCACACAAATCAGGTGGATCAGTGACTAAATACGAACTCGGTCTCAGCACCCATCGAAAATGCAGTTGTGGATAGGTCGGTGGTAGTCACCCTCGAAACTCATCCTCTAAGGATGTTTAAAACAAAACAGTCAGATTTAGGGGATTCAATGCGTTTTCATTTGAAAATAATCGCGAATCTGGTAGACTCAATCAAAGAAGGTCCGGGAGTGTCTAAGGAAACACCTTGGAAAACACAACCATAGCAGTACGATGGCATGTTGCGTACATATGGTAGCTATTTTCCAGTTTTAATGACTCCAGTGTATATCGGTTGGAGGAAATGATTCCAAGCCCTTCGGATTACGAAGCGTCCATGGGATGTAGATAGGAAAAAAGTTGAGACACGACTGACTTATAAGACACTCATCAATTAATGTGTCTGAAGCTGTTCCTTCCAACCCGACCATAAGAGGAAGCATCAACCATCACCAACAATGTCTCTGGGCCAGCATGAACAGTTCGCAAGCGGGATATGATGTATGGCATGCCATGAATACTTGTAGTTGGGCTAATGCATCCGCGTGAAACATAGGATAAGTTAACGCATTTGCGCAGCTACGATTGGGATAAGCACCATATGTGGATGACATTACTTGGCTGTGAATACTAAGGTCACCGGCTCTTCGACGATATTTGATGGGTTAAGGGTCAAACAATGCGAAATGTCTGTAAAGACTGTCAGTGCAAGCACGACACGAGCAACAGAATGGGAAGGATCAGTTCCTCACCATGCGTAGGAACGGACTGCGCATCATCTCCAAAACGAGCTCAATAGTGAAATATTACTACTCGTGTGCCTGTCAGTACAGGCAGATCCCATAGGAATAACAAACAAATGAAAGTCACGCTTAGAGACGAAATAATTTCGTCCGGCGTGCGAGCGGTCTACGCATATTTAAGTAAATTCCCAAAGCAGTTGGAAAAGGAAATCGGTATTGACACTAGGCCACGCGAGATATCACAAGAACAACCGATTGTATAGAGGAACAATGTCGAAAACGGCATACGGAATGGAAAGTACCTTGCGCTTGCGAGTCGACAATATCTGGAACGGTAAAATATGTCCTGCTTGGCGATCCCATGCGACCACCTCCGAATCCAATATGCAACTGTCAACACATGTGGTGGTGCTCATGGTGGATATGCCCGCCAAGCGCTTCTTTGTCGCGTCGGTAAGGACTGCGCATTCAATCACGCGGGGCATCAAAGTGTTCACAATATCCGGATACTTGGTGGTATTATTCTCTTGGTTACGCGAATACACACGACTCGTGGTTGGGTTCAGCACGTGAATCTGTGAAGGGGAGCGGAAGAGAAGTCGAGCACATGAATGGGACAAGAAGGTTTGTGGACGTGACTACCACGCTTTAGTCGATTGGATACGCTGGTGGAAACCGGTGGTACACTGACCACTGAGTCGACAAACAGTAAAAATTTGCTTCCAAAGAAAAGCAAACAACGAAAACGAGGGAAAAGTACAAGTGTGCGATGGCGTTGTCACGAAAATAGTTTGGTCAGCGTAATCGATTCGAAGCCAACATCGGCCAGTGCGGCCACGGGAAGGACAGACGCCAGGTTTACACATCTCATGTTCCTATCGGATATCGGTAGCATTTTACGAACTTTTCGCGCGTTTGCAACTAACCCGACTGGTCAACAATAGCACACTTCCTTTAAGTTTTCTGGGTTGAGCCCAGCAGACTTGGATTCAAAACACTACCAATGTTTTACATTGCATTCACCATCACAACCAACCATGCATGCAACATTGTCGTCACCAAAAACAGTAGAAAGCAGCGATCCCTGCTGGTTAAACGCTATCATAAAACCATAGAAGAGGCATCAGCAGTGCGCCTGTACACCGACGCACCACTGCCGCGTAACCACCACCGGTCGCGCGTGGACTAAGAATATTACGGGGGTCATCCTGTCCCTAGGCAGACTCGAACCCACGACAAGCTCGTTACCCTTGGGCTATGGGCCGGCCACACTACTGCTACGTGATGTAGGCAGAGTCGAGAAAAAGACAATGTAAGACTTAAATGCTATAGCCAAGTATTCAGGATCAGGACACTGACAACTGGCTAGGACCACATGGTCACACAAACGGCTGAATGTCGTGTGAAGATGCGGTGTCGACAGCGGGACAGCTTCCTTGCGGGCTTCACCGTCCTTCAACATAAGCAATCGTTCCCCAAGAATAACTAGGCACTACACAACTTTAAATATGCAGTGAATTAGGAAACAAATGTAGGATCCCAACTCGTGGCGTGCACATGTTTTACAGTCTTGAGCCAGTCTTGAGCGGTTCAAAAGTGAAAAGCATATGCTAAAAATCGGGGAGACTATTTAGGTGGTGTCAATGTTTGACTGTTTCGTCTCGTCATTCTCTAACCGTGTGACTGTCGTTCGTGTAAATTAGAGCACAGCCAGTTTTCCATAAGAAAACGCAATATTCATACCAGGAGACTTCAAAGAAGGGAGAAAACATGAAGAATCCCACGATAGTGGAAAGGAAACGGAGAAATGGGCGTCATCATCACAACAAATAAGACAAGCGCAGAGACCGGTAAAAACGACAACAAACCTGGGCTCGTTCTCCATCGTATTTATATTCGCAAGTGAAATCACACTCATCGAAGCGCTTGAGAACGTCTGTTACCCCTCGCGTAGGGTGAGCTAGCATAGGTTTCACTGGCACACCAGGAGTAATGAAGCAATGCAGGTATAAACCATCGGGACCGTCAGCTAACAGACCGGCAACCAGCGTTTCGTAGTTCGGACACAGACTGAAAGGTAAGGAAATATCAACAGATGGTAGAAAATGTGGACGAAGAGAGCGAGCAGTTGCGGTTCAGCTCGGTCAGACTATCGTGATCAGTGCACTGAAGTACGATGGACACACTTGTCAGGACTCGCGTCGCCAGAATAAAAATGAGTGGCAACCGTGGGGAAATGTACACGAAAGGCAAACATAACACAAAAGAGAGGGGACCAGGACAGAGAGAGTAAAATCAATCTGGATAGAGTGCTAACATATAGATGCAAGAAACCGGATGCATGAGTGCTACTCATCAAGTGATTGAGAAATCTCCAAAGAAGTCGAGCGCAAAAAAGTTCAGAAGTATGCATCCCAATGCAGGGAGTTCTTAAAATAATCTGATAAGGATGAACTGCATCGCCTACACGTGTGGAAGAACAGAGGAGTCAAAGTCGAATGGCGCCAAAGTGCGCAAACGAAGACCTCTGCGTAGCCGGAGTGTCGATACCGTAGCGAGTTACCCGTTGAGAAGACATGCCAATTAGCAAACCAGTACTACCTAGTATTCACACGACAGTCAACTATTTTCGACCATGCATTATTGATCAAGTGCAGGTGTTTACTCATGGCATTTTGGCTAATGCATTACTTACTGCGCTGGGGAGCGATAACGACAAGGACAAATCGAGAGTGATGACACATACTGAAGTAGTTCAAAAACGTAACACGGATCAGTGTTTGCGGTATCTCAGTACTTTTGTTGGCTCAAGGCGGACGCAAAACCGACGGTGACACTTTATGTGCGTTCTATGTGCAAATTCAACGGATCGAGGAATATCGTGTACCATTCAATTTCACTTTGTGTGCTTTTTCCCTTATATGAAAAGCTTCGAAGTATATCTAACGGTTTTTCAGAAAACTGTTCCGAAGCCTTTTCAATCACTCGGTATTCCGCCTTGTAGTGGATTTTCCCTAATCAATTTGTACACCCCAACCAAGATTCACTTATTCAACTCGGAATCACTAACACTACCCAGTGGATCGCGAAGCGATTGCTCACATTCCGTTCGGTAGTCGCAGCCTCTGTTTGTAACCGCTATCTGAGCTACTGTGTCTACATCATCGATTCTCGCGCCAGCCAGCCGACCGCATCGGCTGACCAATTTTCTCGATTGGTGACGACCGATATACCCTGCCTGTCAACTGCGTCGCCCTTCTGCGATCAGTTCCCTGGCCAGTCAACGAGACCCCAAATCACATCGGCAGTCACCTGACCGTGTGGCATTTCGATGATCGTGTGAACTGAAACCAGCGCGTAGTGCGTTGGCACACCTGGTTTGCTATGACCCCACCAAAGTTCAGATGCACGCGATTACCTAAGGACATTGTACCCTGCGCCACGGCCCTACCGATTAAAATGCGATGCCCTAAAATTGTCACTACACCAGTGCTCAATTGTCCAAAGCAATTTCAGTCAAGAATTCGCCTTCATGCACCCATGAATGGTGAATTTTCAGCAGTATCCTTGCATCCTTAACGCATTCGCTCGAATCTGTAGTGCAGCAGCTCGAAGCCTTAGCTCAAAAACTATAATCAGCTAGTCACTAAATGTGTATCCACCATGCGCTGAGTGATCCACTATCAGTCAATAGCATTCGCTGTTTAAAATAGACGCAGCTGGGATCTATAGTCATCGCGCTTTGGGGGGGGGGGGTGGTGCAAAAATCAGGGTCACACACCCCGCCTCGATCGAGCTGGTTGTGAATGTAGTCAAGATGGTCTCACACTGAGGGCTTGAGCAAGCAAGCGAGATGTCCTTTTGAGTCCAGGGGACTCACGAACACGGATGGCCAGAGCGAACAATGCTTGGCAGAGGGCGTGACGTCAGATTCCGGACGGTGACCGGAAGAACGTGTACACGAAAATTGCGTTCACGGAAAATTGCATCCTCGGAGAATGGCGCACACAGTATACGGCGAACACGGAAATACACCAGTTCGGAACGGTTTCATGATGAAAGCGTACACGAAAATTAGATATAGCAAAAGCATCATCATCAATGTACACGTTAGCTGCAGGTGGAAAACATCTCAGATATTGTGCCGCAATACAAAAGACGAGAGAAAACAACAGGAGCACGCCGGCTGAGTCCCCGGTAGGATGGACATCGTTCCAGAGAGCTAACAGCCGGCTATCGTGCCGCAAAGAGTCAGATGATCTCTAACGAATGAGATAGTGAATGAAAGGGGAGACCAAGCCAGAGGCGGACGGACAAAGTAACTCACAACACAAACGCCACTGGGGCCGGCTCCTAGCCATATCAGCAAGTGTGTCCAACCAAATGTGTTCATCGTCCTTATGACTCCACCCAGACAGTCGGTATGCACCAACCGACGCCAACTTCAAAGTAAGGGTTATCATTTCTCTCGACCAAGTCATCACTTGGTCTCCCTGTCCTCCTCTTCCGACCATACCCTCGGCGCGCAAACAATGCACGTCGCGGGAGTCGGAGTGCTGGCATGCGCAACACGTGGCCCTGCCATCGGAGCCTGGTGCGTGATATAATGGTGCACCAAATGCGCGACGCCGAACACGCTCACTGCTCACGCGGTGCTCTCACCAGACATGAGCTAACCTGCGAAGGCAGCGATGATCGAACGTGGTTAGCCTCTATATGTCTGTCGACCTGATGGGACAAGTTTCATAACCGTATAAGAGGGTTGAACGGATGGCAAAAAGCGTACACGAAAAATTGCGCATCGGAAAATAGCGCACACGGAAATACACCAGTTCGATTGCTTTGCACATAAACGACTGCCCTACGTAGCAAAGCCATATGACCAATTACTCAAGATAGAACACCGCTTGCCGAATGCAGTTTGCCGAAGCCTCAGTGATTCGGTGGCTCTAACGCACTTAGTGTGACCAGACCGAGTTTGTGGCTAGCCTAGACTTAGCTTGATGAGATTGGTAACTGGGTCAAATGACCGATAGCCATTTGCTCACAGTGATAGTCAGCCCGTAGCTTAAAGGTAACACACTTGTCATGTAATCTGACGGCGCGGGTTCGAGCCTGCGTAGGGGCAGGGCGGCCCTCGCAGTATCCTAGCCCAAGTGCGACCGGTAGTAGTTGCGCGGCAGCGAAGCGTCGGTACTGCGTACTGGCGTACTGCTGATGCCTTTTGCTTACAGTGATACTACACATGGAAGGATGTCCACATAGTAAATTTCCTTCCCAGAAAAACGTTTGGACGGAAAAATTGTAGCGGTCTGTAGATGTACCCGGTTTGTTTGAGTACAGTGTGTACAATAGTAACCGAACATACTTCCTCCGTTGCACACTCAGACGACCGATGAGAAATGTGGACTGTCAGTTCAAGACATTAGTAAACTGAAAAACATGCCCATGGTCGGATCTTTCGCACATCTGCGACACGCGCTGCCAGTTCCGCTTCCCAAACCAGTACGGTTCACCGGTGTCACTATATAGGGGACACTTGTGTGCGCACAATCAAAGCGTGTCCGTTCATGATTCCCTTCCTCTGGACTGATATTTGGGCCTGACGCCATAAAATGCGCACGAACACGGTGTGGTTACACCAAGTGCGTTAGAGCTACCGAATCACTGAGGCTTCGGCGAACTGCATTAGGCGAGCAGTGTTCCGTCTGTAGAGTATTCTGAATGAGTCATCGGGCTTTGGCATGTAGGGTAATCGTTTATGTGCAAAGCGATCGAACTGGTGTATTTCCATGTTCGCTACATACCGTGCGCGCCATTCTCCGAGGTCGAATTCGTGTACGCTATTTGCTGTAGGCAATTTTCGTGTACGCTTCCATTATGGAACCGTATTGGACATCTTCACCGCTACGTCGGCGTTGTCCGGAGCTGTGCTGACTTCGTTTTGCCTTCACATCCCAGGCTTTGGGGTTTGGAACCAGTTCGTGAGCAAGCACCTGCTTCCGCCCCCTAAAAAGGGGTTCTGTGTAGCAAGATATCAAGCGCTGATGATTTCAGTTTGACCACACGTGTGTCCACAAGGTTGCGTGGAACTAGCCCACGTTTTGCCCCAGGTGAGTCTATGTTAAACAGCAATGCCGGCATATCGTCCGAATGGTATTGGCTGAGATAGCGGTTGACCGCTCAGGGCGTCGTTGATGCAAATTTCGTGAGTCACAGAGTATAGTTTCCGAGCTAAGGATGCAAGCGAATGCGTTAAGGATGCAAGCGAATGCGTTAAGGATGCAATCAATTGGGAAATGGTATAGACTGTTCTCCGGGTTCTCAGTTTACGTCCGAAGTTAGTGCTAAAGTCTGTTCCTTACAATCAGAGCTCGACCAATTAAAAAAAATTTTGGCCTTCCTTGAATCCCTTAAGGATCACTTAGTTTCGATAAGAATAACTAATCCTCTCCATCGCCTCAGAGGTAGATGAAAGAAACTGTTAAGAATGTGATTGTTTTTAACATACCAAACAGATCCAGTTTGGACGAAGTAAAAACAACAGTACTTAGCGTTTGTAAGATGTCCGAGGTCGTCTGTAAAGCGGTCTGCGTTTAAAAAAGAAAACACAGACACACTATTGTCTAATCATTATTAAATTTGCAGGCGAAGTATTGGCAGATTACTTCTTGCACATCCAAGATATCACTACTGCATGCAAGTAGTACAAGGATATTTTGATTAAGCCGGATCGTAGGCCTCGGCAACCATCCCTCCTCAGAATGACACCGAGAACGCCGGAAAACTGTAACAGATATGCTGATAGACCTTACACAAGTCCACAGAAAAATGGCACGCCAAGTGTGGTAACCGCAACTACAAAGCTGGATATCGAGTACTCGTACGTAGGAGCGGTAAGATCAAGTAACTTTGCCCCATGTTCTATCTCAAGGTCTACTATACGATAGCCGAACTTAACAGACATCAATAATCCTGACCCTGGTCTCATCACTCTGAACTCATCCGGTTTAGTCACCACAGAAAATATTAGAGGCTGGAACCAAAGAAAAATACTAGGAAACTGATAC